GGGCCTCGGGTGACGCGCCACCGCCTTGGCCACCGCCGCCGCCGCCGCAGCCTCCGCGACCGCAGCGCTGCCACCGCCGGGGGCGCGCCAACACTCGGCCGCACCCGCGCGCGCCGAGCGAGCCCGCCGACCCGCGCCCGCCGCGCCCCGGGGCGGCGACTGGCGGCGGCGAACGAGGTCGGCGGCGGCGGCCGGCGGCGGTGACGCCTTGCGGTGAGGGTTGCCGATGGTGGCGGATGATAATCCACCGGGTGACGCTTCCGTGTTGCATAGAGAGGGTTGGTGAAGCTAACGGTGCGGGCGGCGACCGTAACCGGTGGTGCCGGGGGGGGCGTACGGGATGACTGTCACGGTCACTGTCACTGTCACGTAGCCAGTGATGGTGATGGTGAACCGCGAGGGTCAACGCGCTGCCAGCGGCGGAGGTAGAGTCAACAGGCGTGGCAGAACTGGAGGTGGAGCTGTTTGGAAGGGAGTGGAGGGACAGGACTGCGACAATGAAAGTGGTTTGTGTAATCTGAATAATCTGACTGGACAAAGGGTGGATCTTTCTTCTTCCAAGTTGGCGGAGGGTGAACGGGGTGGCCGGGGTGGCAGTAGTTAGGTCGGCGGCGGGACCAGGTCGGCGGGACAGGCTGGTGGTGGACTGAGACGGAGGAGGTGGGTCACAGCTCTCGTCGCACAGATGCTGCAGTGAAAGTGGCTACAGGGACAGTGGGGTGCCGCAGCAGTATGGTTGACCGGTGGCTGGGACGATGCGTGTGGGTCTCGGCGGCGAGATTTGGTGGAGAGGGTCGGGACACGAGGACGGCAAGGTCAGACGGAAGCTCTCGTCGCCACCCCAGCAACCCACCGCCACACGCCCCCCACACGCCTCCGCCACACGCCTCCCGGCCAACGCACCTCCACCACGCACCTCCGCCCACGCACCTCCGCCCACGCACTCCACCACGCACCTCCGCCACGCACCTCCGCCAACGACTCCGCACACGTCTCCGCCCACGCCTCCGCCACCCGTCTCCGCCACCCGTCTCCGCCACCCGTCTCCGCCACCCGTCTCCGCCACCCCGTCTCGCGTCTCGCCACCCGCTCCGCCACACGTCTCGCCACTCGTCCTCCGCACCCCTCCGCTCGGTCTCCGCCACACGTCCCGCCACACGACTCGCCCACCCACCTCCGCCACCGCCACACGGTGCCTATCACGTTACACCACGATCACACGCCTCCGTCACATAACCCCGCCCCGTCCCCTGCTCTTCCTCGACCATGGCCACTGTTACTGCTCCTGACCCCACCTCCACCTCCGCCACACACCTTCGCCACTGCCACCTTCTCTGTCACTGCCCCCGCCACAGTCACCATTGTCACTGTCGCCGCCGCCACGGAGAACGCTCCTTCCCAGCAGGCACATGCGCGTGGCCGCCGGCTGGAGGCTCCGGGTGACGGAGCGGGTGGGCGCGTGGGTTGGTGGAGCGGGCGAAGGGGCGGCACACTGCTTCCGTGAGACGCTCCGGGTCACACGCCCCCCCCCCGGTCTGCTCAGCACGATTTATGCTCCGATTAAAATAAGAAGGTCCTCCGTGATTGGCACCGTACAAAACAACGAGCCACATCACACAGCAGCGGGTGGCTGCAGCTCGCCTGCTGCAAGTGGTTTTCATGAAAATGCCACGGCGCCTTAGAAGCGTCAATCATTTGGTTATTTTATTCGTACTTCAGTGTTTACGTGATTAAACTCCCATTCATATGCGATCGAAGCCATGTCGTGCGATGGCCGTGAGATTTTCACAAACCTTACGTCGAGGGGAACCAAGGATCAACAACCTGCCGACGCAAATATCGTAAGTTTTTGCAGTGTTTACGCGTACCACGTAAGCGGTTCAAATTTTTACTTATAGAATCCATTAGATTAATTTTTTTCCTGAGTTGACATGTTTCCAACACGTGACATAAAATTTCTATTTCTTGTCGATATTTCATCATAGCACATGAAGCAACTTTGCTGAACAAATTTCACCCTCGACACTCTATTACGAAAAATCATTATCAAATGACCATACCCAGAAATACCTTTCAAAACAGTCGTACGAATGATTTTTTTTAAGAATAATAAATTAAATAACTCAATGCTGAGCAGTGCATTTCACAAGAATGAATAGAATTTCTTTGGAGTTCAATTCACTCGGCGCGTCATTGCCAGTCGTTCCGCGTGCCGCACTTGGCACGCGTGTCAGCCCGAGCGCCACCGCCTGGAGTAGACGGGTTGTCTCACCGTCGCTGCAGCACTGCCGAGATACCATGCGACGCGTATGTGCGTCGGTAGGTAATAGTCCAGTCAGTACAATTGCTACGGCAGTACGGAATTGACTTGCAAATTTTCAGCGCAGAGGTACTTTGCTCAGCTCCGTTGTGTCAGGTCCAGCGACCTAATTAGAATTGATAGTAAGGTAGCTGTTTGCGAACGCGTTTTTTCTGTTTCCTGAGGATATAGAAACTTTGCTTAATATATTACAACACATGTAGAAACTTTGCTTAATAACGATTAGTAAGGTACTGCTGTGGCAATCATGGTACATACCTCGTACAGATTAGTAAAAAAAAATCCCACACGAAAAACTGTCAATCTGAGCAGCCAGACACTCGGCGATGGAAACGCTCCCCCTCCTCTCAATGGCTGAATTTCAACGCAGCTACATTGCGGTGCCGAAAAATATCCTGACTTGATTATATCGCTATATATCCTTGTTTCTCTCCAATGAAACATAGTAAATCATATACTAACATATACAACGACATCTACAACATGCACCAAATGAAACTATATTATTTCATCAATACTTCCAAATACTACTTTTTTTAAATGTTCTGGATTTGTAAAAGGTATACAATGAACTCAACTCGATGGAGTTCTTTGACAAGTTCGGTTGTAATGAACCAACTTTGAAATAATTTGAAAGCAACGCTTGTACCTGTGTCAGTGTAATGTTATTTCCGTTTCAATCAGAATTTAAACCCTTCCCGCCTTTTAAACTGACCACTACAAATTTTCTAAAAAAATATATATTTTACGAGTATTTTTATCAGCTGCCATTCAATTTTTTTATTCAGAACTTCAATTATTTTATACATAAGCAACAACATTTTAAAAATTATCATAAACACATAAATAAGTAATGCCTATCATTTCTCACAAAAATTAAATGAATTTGTAAAACACAGAAAATTAGAGAATTGTTATATTACATATGGAGATAAGGTTCCTGAAAAACGTTTAACAACAACATTTGTATTTGTTAATGGTAATCACTAAAGTTATAATTTAATACTCTTTGGAATGTACTTTTTATTTACTAGTAAAATGTACGTAAATATAAAAATGTTCAATGGAAATAGCGGCCCAGAAATGTAGTTACCCCCCTTATTTCAGGGTGCGCACGTCAATTTTTACCACGAATGATATTTAACCTACGTATCTCAGATGGAGCGGAACGAGTCAGGGGATGTTTTTTTGGACCGTAGTGTACATAGCTAGTGTCGAAAATTCATGCCCACTGGGACTCATTCGCCTTCCTTCGCATACGCCTTCCTTCGGAGGGGGAGTAAAGCCGGCTGTCCAAAGTAGCAGTTTTATTGCACGAGATCATTAACAAGCTCCTGAGTTAAATTCACAATCGCCTGTTTCGTCGCCCGAGTGATATCTTCTTTTTCCGCTAGATGGCGAAAGGAGCGTAGCGCTATTTGCGGGGTCAGACGGAAGAGCGGGCCTGATGGCTCGATTCTCACCAAATAAAATAAGACATGAACTGAGCTGACTTGAATCGAAACCATCACGCCATCCTCACTCTCACTCTGAGAATACTTACAGGAGCAATAGAATGGCAAGCTCTAGAATGGAACACGCCGGGAGAATGAGTTGCAGGAGACCAAGGAGCATATGCAGAAAAACTGTTTACAAGGAAATGAAGAAGACTGGAAAATCCTGAAGAGAAATTAAAAAAAAAAAATTGCGGTTAATCGAGTTAGATGGAAGTCTCTCTCATCGAGGTCTTATGCTCCCCGGAGGAACGGTATCGAAGAATGATCCTCACGCGAGATCGGATGCCCTTTTCAGTTACAAGGACAAGTCTGAGGTAGCGTCGCACCGCGTCGTATCGCGACACGTCTCGTCGCGTTGCTTCGCGTCGAATCGCGTCGCACCGCGTGGAATCGCGTCGCTTCGCATCGCGTCGCATTGCGTCGAATCGCGTCGCATTGCGTCGCATCGCATCGCATCGCATCGCATCTCGTCGCATCGCGTCGCGTCGCGTCCCTTCGCGTCGCGTCCCATCGCGTCACGTCCCATCGCGTCGCGTCCCATCGCGTCGCGTCCCATCGCGTCGAGTCCCATCGCGTCGCGTCCCGTCGCGTCCCATTGCGTCCCATCGCGTCGCCTCCCATTGCGTCGCGTCCCATCGCGTCGCGTCCCATCGCGTCCCATCGCGTCGCGTCGCACCGCATCGCATCGCGTCGCAAGTTGGCGACCGCCCACGCCTCCACCGCGACGGCGACCTGGCGACGCGACGGGCGAGTGGCGGCTCGTGCACCACCTCCAATCGATAGGGCCATCAGCCACCGGCAGCCGCCACGCCCCCGACCGAGGCCGCGAGACCCTCTTCCAGAGGCTCCGCGGAGCCGCTGACGGGCGAAGGGAACGGGGGCGCGGCCCCAAGCCCCCTCCCCCCCAAAAAAAAGAACCGCACGGGGGAGAAAAAAAAGCCACTGCGCCGAAAAAATAAAAGAAGGTCGCCCGGAGCCCAAACAAAGTGGGAGGAGAGCCGCGTCATGAACTGAACGAAGATTACGTTATCAACCCTCAGGGAAGCCGGCACACCAGCCGCTTAATTGGGACAAATTTTGTTTTAAACGCGCTCATTTATTTGATGGAAGTTCTTGATAAAGAACTCAACAGCCGTTGCCGAGCTCCTGTTTATCTGAATGATGGCTGCAACACAGAAACATACCTGAGAGACGAGAGGTGGGTGAGCGACCTGGCCGGCACATTTTCATGGTCTGCAAAAAGAGAAAAAAGGACTTAAAAACAGTTGCTAACTGTAGATGAGGACCTTACTAACTCTCATTTCACATAATTTTAAGATAGTGACTCCTTCAGTTTCGTTGCTACCGATACATCTCTCTTCGTTGTCTGCTTTCAACACAGCCACTCTACAGCCATCCCTACTCGTACAGCCATCGCCATGAAATGTGTCGCTAACATCGTCAAAACGTTCCCACCGCCCCCGCTTCCACCGTCAGAGCCCCAGCCATCGCTTCCACCACCCCGCCCAGCGGCTTCGTCATAGTCCCTTGCGCCGCCATCTACCCCTCCAGCTCTTTTCAGACAGCGTAAGCAACCTGCCCAAGCCCGGATTTAGTGCACGACACCCAAGGCCCAGAGAACATCGCGCCCCTCTCTTTGTCAATGTCAACTGTCAGGAACACGAGACAGACGAGGATCAACACCCCTCACCACTCCTGGTAAAAGACCCTAGGGGCCCATGACGCGACGTAGTAGACCGTTCACAAGCGTACTTATTTTAAGACGGACGCAAGAAAAGTCTTAAATCACGTATATGAGTCTCCGTATATAAGCTAAGAATAGATAGATAAATAAATACGGATGGTGCTTTTTGACAGTTTACAAGAAACCAATTTCACAAAACCCAGTAAGTGTGCTACTGCTGGATTGAAAATTACTCCTTAGTCCTGCATCAAAAAGATTGAGAACAAAACTAATGCTGCTGCAACAGCGCATTCTTTCTGACATTTTTTAACTGCTTCGCTATATTATACTACTACATTAACTTGTAGATTGGTTTCAACAAGAAAAAATGTTACTGCATCGAGTCTCGAACTCAGGTTCCGAGTTAGCTCGCCGTGAGCCTTACCTCGGCGCTACAGAAACACTACGGAAAAGCTGTGACTTACCAACTCGTACCGACGCTTAAGATAGTAATTGTCTCAACTCAATATTTCCAACACGCATTTCCGAAAATTCAGAGAGATAAACGAAAATGAGACCTACGGTATTATTTTAAACGTCGCTTGCTTAATTCGTGAAAGAAAAAGAAAGAAAAGACTAATTTTGGAGAAAATGTAATTTTTATAATTAGAATTTTAAGCATTAATTACGTGAAAAATACTAGTTTCTTTAAAAACAACTATTTGACATTTTTAAAGACTGATTTCTGAGAACAGATTTTGTGTAAGTTAAGAAGCTCTTATCTTCAAATTGTGAAAGTTCTTTGTTTAGGTTAAAAGGATCGTCTTATGTAGTTTTTTAATGTTCACTTAATGTTAACTAGTGCTATATTTTTACCGTCCATTATTACATACTACGATAAAATTTAATGAAAACATTTGGTGCGGTTTTTGAGAAAAAACCTTTTTTTTAGAAATTGCATACATGTCAGCCAGAAATTACGCAAAATCTACTCGGTTTAAAAAATTGAACATAGTAATTTATAAAGAGCTGATTTTTAAGACAGACTTTGTCTAACGCAACAATCGCAATCTTCAGTTGTGCTGTTGTGAAATGTTAATTTTTTGCCATTTTCGAAAAGACTATTTTCGAAAAGACTAAGAATATTTTGTTGCAAATGGAACTAGCACCGTATTTTTTACTGTCACATGATACATACAAATTTGGAGCAGTTTTTGAGAAATTTGCTATATTTTTGAAAAATTGAACACGACCTTACTTCAAGATCTATCTACACAGAACAATTTCAATAAGGAAAAAAACCTCTCTCTTAAATACTGTATTTGTAGGATGACGCCCTCAAACATGAGATATGCACCATTCTCTTAACTGCTCTTTATGCTATCTGAGGATAAAGTTTAATAAAGAACATTTTGAAAATGTTCTTGGGGCTTCGTATAACATATCATTACAAATCGAAATTACCGCTTGAAACCTTCACAGCTTCGATCAGGAAATATCAATTTTGGAGAAAATTGGCTGAACAGTTTAGGCACTAGCGTTGACCACTGACGGACAGTTTTCACGTGAATCATGTTTTCAGAATCAAGGACACACAAAACATGAATTCTGGCTACATCACGAGTTAGGGGAAGTAATTTACTAAATATAATAACGATATTCATCCAATTTTTCGTTACCATAGCCCGACAATATGAGCTTTTCCGGTGAAAAATCATTTTCTGCGCACGATTAACAACTTTTTCTTACATTCGTAAGAGCGAAGTTTTCGGTGTATGACGTAGGGAAACTATCACTACAACACACATTAAAATTTCGGATAACTCTGAAACGATGCATCCTAAGCCCATAAAACTTGTTGTGACTTGTCTCCGGAGGTACATGTGAGTTTTTTAGGGTCACAAGATTGAAAGAATATGTGGAGACCATCGGGGGCAGTTCGGGACCAGAGTTTTTTTCTTAAGAAATATTCTACAACATTAGATCATTTTGAAACCTTTATTACATAGTGGAGATTCGCCTCTTCTGAGAACCCTACTTCGTAGCATGGGTGGCCAGATGCGAGCAATAACGTAAACGGCATGTAAAATTAAATTTAAGAAATAGAACCAGGAATAACAATAAATTAAAGGGACTATTTTATTTTCCATTTAATCTCAACACTTAGTAATATTGAAATGTTTGTTCTCACATAGTACTGTGTGTATAATACTGTTACAGTTCGCAGCACCTCACAGCCATTCGAGGTTAGGTAGGTAAATACTCGTATTTTCTCTTTTAAAACAATTATTTACAAAGTGCAGAATGTTCTAATGCGTCAGTTTTTAATTAAATTATCCTAGTGGAACTCGGAAGACGTTATTCTGCTCATCTACTTCTTTCTCCTTCCCTCTTCCTTTCTCTCTCCGTCTCTCTTTTCGTCTCCCCCCCCCTCTCTCTCTCTCTCTCTCTCTCTCCATCAATCTCTCTCTTTCTCTCCCTCTCCGTCACTTTCTCATTGTCTTTCTCCCTCTCCATCTCACTCTGACCCTGTCTCTGTCTGACCTTGCCTCTGTGTGTCTCTCTCTGTCCCTCCCCCTCTTTTAGTTTCAGATTCTGCACGTCTCTGAGCAGGAGGGGTAATACCGAGAAGTGTCGGACCAGCAAAAATGTACTACAATGTTCAAGCAAATCTTATCCTGTAGATTATAGCGTGAAAACGTTTTTTTTTTGCTGCCTTTGGCCTCAAAATTTTAGTTTTATTGTCCTAGATCGCTTCTCTTAGGAGTTAACGATATAGATTCAAAAATGCCGCCGAGCGTTGCGGGTTGCATTTGACTTGAATCATTAGTTGTCTTCCACAGCGCCATCTAGTGCCAAAATGAAGAGTACATAAACCTTCTGGGAGAGACAAAAGTAGACTAATGTGCTAACTTTCTGGAAATCAGTGACACGGTGTCGACGTTAACCACTCTTTTATATAGCATAAGCATATACTACCGCAGAATTCGGAGCACCTAATATTAAAGGAGAAGATTGTCCTTAAGTGAGTCACATGAAAGCAGGAAAATCTCTGCAGAAAATCGAAACCGTTCCATTTGCAACCAGACCCGGTTTCGCATGAGCATGGATTCTTCCTCAACAATTGGCGTTGGTCTCGCATCCCCACGTGACTCAGCGGCACCGTATAGAAGTTTTCAATATGGCGTCACGAAGTGCTTTATGCTTGTATAAAATCTGTTTTCAGGCTCTCTAAAATTAATTTGAATCATATTTCTACATGACTTAAGGCTAAAGAGCTATAGAGAAAACGAAACAAGTCAGAAAAATACCGGTTTTCCGGACCTCCCGGAGTTAGCACATGGTTTTGGATGGCGAAAACTTGGGGTCTTAACTATTGCTACAACATATTCAAAGAGAAAAAAAGATGACCTTTCTTCCTAGGAACCCTTTTTTGTCAGTAGCTGCTGACTGGGTTATAATGGACTCACGCAGTATTAAACGTCGACTGTAAAACTATGTCTAATTACTTTATTTTTGATCCCCCGGTTAATCTGTTTACAAGCTTACTTGACACAATGTCAAATTTCCACGTATTCGTTGCGGCATGTAGCCTCCTTTCACTACCTCAAGGTCAGAGGACATTTGAAAGAGAGTGAAAAATTTGACTGTTCTGACAAGCATCTAAGATAAATGTTTGGAGGTACAGCATAGGCAAGCCCCTCGCAACACTTCAGCTATTTGTCTGCCTCCAACAGTTTTAAGAATAACAAAAAAAGTTGGTAATTTTTAATTTTCATGTCCGTGTGTCTTAGACATATTACGCATATTTAAATTTGTTGGAAGAGTGCGACAAAAATGTCTCTTAGTCAACCGAACCTTCTAGTAAAGTCTAGTAACCTTCCCAACAACCAAATTATTCCTCAAGTGCATTGACTCTCGATTTTACTATACCTCGAACCTTTCTGTTTCCGAGTAGTCGAAGTTACATTGTATCGCAAAGTAAGAAAAGAAAACCCGTAAGGAATTGCTACGATAGATGAAACGGATGGTAGAACGGCGAATACTAGTGGTAACGCTACGTGCTTGTTAATTGCACAATTCTCCCTAAAGTGACAACCCTGTGATGCTAATTATGCATAATTCAAGACTGATATCTAAATATTCAAGGCTATTTTTAATATTGTCAAGTTTTCATGTTTCAAACTTTCAAATTTAAAAATTGTTTTGCAGTTCTTGTCTATTCAGTCTGCTTGCAAACTTCGTAATAATGTTCAGCTCAAAAACTTTTTTTAAATTTATTTATTTAAGCTCACTTTATAACATCACAGCGACCCTATCATTATATAATTGTATAGACAATTAAATAGTAGTTTCAATTTTACCAAGAATAAATATGTTAAATTTAATTACATTTTCAAAACATGTTATGTTCAATCTAACTAAAGTACTAATATAATATTCATAGCTATATCAGGCTGTAATTGTAATTTCTAAGAATATTACTACTTTGACATTCCCGTCTCTTGACCTGAGCAATGATTTTAGGATTCCTTCAATTTTTAGAAGTTTTCTTATATTATTTACAGCA